CTCCTATAACACTTTATAAGGTTGGAAAATACAGAGCAGGGCATCTGAGTCCATTCCTCTGTACAGAATCTCTCCAGATCATCCAGGGTCCTAGGCCCTCTCTTGTGCACTTTCTTGTTCAGCTCAGTCCACAGGTTTTAAATGGGGTTCAGGTCAGGGGACTGAGAGCCATGGCAGAAGCTTGATTCTGCAGTCAGCTAACCATCTTTGTGTTGATTTTGGACAGTGACAGGATCACTGTCCGGCTGGAAGATCCAATGACGGCCCAGTTTTTGTTTCCTGGCAGAGGCACAAAATTTTGATGTAAAATGTCCTGGTATTTCATGGAGTCCATAATACCATGTACCCTAACGAGGTTTCCAGGGCCTTTGGAGGAAAAACAGCCCCACAACATCACAGAACCTCTACCATATTTTACATTTGGGATAAAGTTCATTTCATTATATCCATCCTTCTTTTTACACCAAACCCACCTTATGTTTAGTGCCAAAAAGCTCCATTATTGTATCATCAGCCCATTGAATTTGGTTCCAGTCAAAGTTGTAGTAGTGTTTCACAAACCCCAGGTGCTTACGTTTGTGGTTAACTGACAAGAAAAAGCTTTTTCTGGCATACCTTCCAAATAATCTGTTAGCATGAAGGGGGCGGCTGATGACATGGTAACCCCAAGATTTTACTTGGTCTTGTAATTCACCAACAGTCATGCTTGGGGAGTTTTTTGCCTCCCTTATGATCCTCCTCACTGTACGTGGGGGAAAATAAACTTGGGTCCTCCTCCAGGCAGGTTTCTAACTGTCCAACTTTCTATTATTCAGGGGCGGAGCCAAGGTGGTGGCAGGGGTGGCAATTGCTACTGCTATTGTTGCCCTAGGAGAAGAAATTGGCAAATTTAGTGCACATGCTGAATTATAGTGTTGTTTTATTATTTTAGCAAAGATAGCCCTTGCTTCAAGCCTGTGTGGTAAGTGTATATGTGGAGAACCAGTTATTAGTTTCCCACTGCATGTAAGCAGGCTATGTAGGTCATATTAAAGCTTTGAATCAACTTCACTATACTGTAATGTGATGGTATAATTAGCTGCCTAGATTCATTAATTTAATTAATTAGATTAGGCTTGGTCTTTATGGTTGGTGTTTATGATTTTGTAAATGTTTGTTGTGTTTATTCAACAAACATTTACAAACTCTTTGTTTATTATGAGTGTGACGAGAAAAGTATTTTTTCCCTTCATTTATCATATTTATATGGACCCCTCTGAGAAACCCTTGCTCACCCTGTGGCCCCCCCTTAAATAAAAGTCTAGCTCCGTCACTGTTATTATTGCCCTAGGAGAAGAAATTGGCATTTTCAAGTGAGTAGCTATTTTTAATACCCATTCCCTGACTCATGAAGGTCAGCACTTTTCTCCCTCATTTGGTCTGTGTGCTCTCTTATCTTTCCCATGTTGATGGATGACTAAGGGAATTTGGCCTCTGTGTCATGGGTTTCTATTCACTCCAATAATCTCAAAGATGTGCAATTTACACATGCTTCAGTTACATTGTGTTCAGTATAATTTCCAGGGCTGCCAATAATCGCGGCACATGTGTTTTTGTTAAAAATAATTATTTATTGATGAAAGATTTATTTTTCTTTGAATAAATTTATTTCAAAGAAAGGTTGGATTTTTCTCATTTTTTTAGTATGAGATGAAGCTACTTCCCTAAAAGGTAAATTTTTTCGTAGCCTTTTCACAAATCATTACAAGTGGTGCCAATAATTGTGGAGGTCACTATATATATCACATATTTATCATTTACTGTATATATAATATAAAATTATAAATTCAATATACAGAAATGACATATATCATCCTGTTGCCTGTGATTTATTTCTTATGAATGTTATTAAACATTTGGATTAAAGCATAACTGATGACTACTTGCTTCCAGTAATTTACAACACAGTTTCATTTCACGTATATTTTTTTATTATTTTAATCTCCTGACAGCGATACCTCAGGAGATAAACTTTGATCATCTCATCTGTACTTCTCAGACATCGCTTGCGACACACGGCTCAGGAACTTGTCCATAGCAACGTGCGTCTCTGGGGTGAAATCTTCCCAGAACATCTTGGACAGAACCACGAGAATGCAGTGAGACAGAATCTGTAGAGAGAGTTTAAAAAAGAGAGGTTTCCTAGTTAAAAATGTCACAGATAATCAAAAAGGGTTATAGGGACATGTGATCCATAATTAAAATTTGTGGTGCACATTTACTCACCTTGAAGTTGGCGGGATCCACTTTTAACTTGGTAGCGTGTATCTCGGCCACTTTGCTGAGGCCACTTTCCAGGTCATCAATTTTACTTACGGCAGTGACTAGGCCCTTCATGATAACCTTGCCATGCTTGCGTATGGGAGCCGAACCAGGTTTCAGATCATCCCAATGGGCGAAGTACGTCTTTGTCGCAGGGTAGGTGATGAGCATTCTAGAAGATTTGGGTTTAGATAGGGTCTGGGTTTCAGCCTTTTAGTGAGTCGACACAAGCTATTCACTTAATGAACTAATGTTTGTAATGAAAACATTTTACGTGGTTGAAGCCGATATTATTTAAAATGAAAAAGCAGACACTAGGTTAAATTCAATTATTTGGTTACATTATTATTATTACATTATTAGTACATTATTATGCATTAAGCTTTAGTCATTAAATGTAAATCATCTATTATGCAAAGTTTTATTTTATTGTGTTCAGAACTATGATTCTGCATGAGTGGCGTTGCTACAGGTGCCCCTGGATTCATGAGCCTGGCTCTGGATTACCTGGACAGAGCCTCAGAGCCGATGTCGTCCGCCTTCTTCGAAGCTTTATCCCAGAAGGCCTTCACTAAAGTTTTGTCTTTAGTAGAGAGACTCATCTTGCTTTTTTTCCTTCCTGATACGATGTTGTTGAAGTCTAACTTGGCTTTTCAGAAAGCATAACTGTTTTTATATAAAAAAAAAAAACAGAAGCACTGCCAAGTCCCTCCTACTTCAGCACACTAAATTGAACACATTCCAAATTCTGGAACATTCCATGATGGCATTTTACCAAAATGACTAAGCAGAAATTATTGTAAGACCCTGTTGATTTTCCTTCAAATTCAATATTAATGCAGTCAGAATTATTTGTTAATTTCATTATTGATTTATTTATGTTCATGCAAAAAAGCTACTATTAATAATTTCTAGAAATTTAGTCACATGTACATAATTATTATACACTAAAAAATTTAGTAAAGTTAGCATAATAAAGGAATTTGCAAAGACTATAAATACTATGCAATCACGTATGGTAAATTGACCAGTTGACTAGTTTTATAGACCTATAACAAAAAGGTACAATTATATACCGATTCAGTTACCACACAAAACAGAAAATGCAGAAAATACAGAGAATTTTGATTTACCCTCGATAGTCTTATACATCATAAATAGACTTAGAGAAAATCTTTAATGTGATTTATTTTAATCAGGGCATTAAAAAATGATTAGCACTTGCCATTAAAATCGACACTGAACTGCATGTCAAGAAGTTCTGGGTGTTTCTCGGGTGTTTGTAATCTAGAAGAAAAGTTAAGTGAGACGTGCCCCACATCGAGGGTGGAGTTCGGCTGAATACAAAGATAAAAAAGCTCATGTTTTTAAAGATAACTAGCAATCCAATGAATGGGAAAAGACGCCGTTTTCAAAGAAACTCATGTTTCGTAAATTATGCATATATCAGAACAATTCATGTTATATATATGCAATATGTTTAGTAAATTTGCAGTAAACTACGCACGGACAGGACAACCAATAGCCAGACAATAAAAATGCAAATATTATATACAATAGGCCTATGTGCAGTATTTCACCAAAAATGTGAATAACAAGAATAACAAACAAGCAAGCATACATCATTTAACAATATTATAGAAACATATTGTTTTACAGATGCATTTATGATATTTGTTCATAATTTTTCTTTACCAAAATTAAAAACACGTCATGAGTAGTATATAAATAATCTGCAGAAATTCGAATTAGCCCAAAACACGGCTCAAAAGATATATATCTAGAAAATGCAAAATTCACCTCGAACAAACATGAACATTTAGCCCTTTTTCCAGTTTTTTAACGAACATGCCAAAAACATAAAAATTTCCAGTCCCATCTTACACATACAGACAAAGGATTTATGGGTATTCTTTTTCACTATCCCAGTAAATTCAGCTCTTTGGATTTTTAAATTGATATGATGTTATATAGCAAACATGCTATATTTAAGTAACATGTCGACCATCACGAATATATACCGCTAAATTATATATATATGCTATACCGTTTAGCGGGCAAAACTAGAAACATATTGTTATATAGCAAAGATGCTATATTTAAGTAACATGTCGACCATCACGAATATATACCGATAAATTATATATATATATGCTATACCGTTTAGCGGGCAAAATTAGAAACATATTAGAACATAATTTAAAACACAATTAAAATTTGCAATTTATAAAAGTTTAATGTACGCCAATATTTTAGTTATACATTAATATAACAACTTTTGCAAATGATCTTTTGAAACAGGTGTTCTAGAGAAATATAATATTGACTGCTAAACGATTTCTGATTTTCTTTTATTGAAATATGCTTTAAACAATTCCTAATATAGGTTTTTGTCAAGGATTATAATCTGTAACCGGGCAAAAATGCATCTTGTGGGTCAAGACTCCACAACAAATATTTTTTTGTAATATTTGTGAAAAACTGCTTCATGCTAAATTAATGCATATATGTAATTTAAAAGAAAATTAATATTTTGTATGCCTCCCAGTCTAAATAATTTTTGATATTTTGCCCGTGGTTGAAGCCTGCCCACCAGAACTGTCCACCCAATCAGGTATGCCTTTCTGACTTGGGTGGAGTTTTCAAACCATTTAAAATCCAGGGCCGCGCTAGCTGCTGTAGGATTCCTTTACGCCTTCTACAAAGAAAGCTAAGAAACCCACAAAGTGCAGTCATGGTTGCCTGGACAGATGCTGAGCGCAACGCCATCACCAGCGTCTTCGCGAAACTTAACCCTGATGTAGTTGGGCCCAACGCTCTGGCCAGGTAAGGCATTGAGAAGAAATTAAGAAATTAAATGTTTCGCAGACTAAAATGAAATATAAATTTAATTGCAATCACATGGCATTTATATCATTTACTTAATTTTGTAAAATAATAATGTAAAAATCTAAATAAAAGGTAATACATGAACATTAACAGTAACATAATATGCATGATACATTTCTATGATGCTTCGATTGAGCTGTATTTTACGAAATAGTCATTAATTATTATTATTATTATTATTATTATTACGCCTATTACAAGTGATAACGAATACTTAATTCTCTGATGTTCTCTTTTCCAATCAGATGCCTTATTGTGTACCCCTGGACCCAGAGGTACTTCAGTAAATTTGGGAACTTGTACAGCGCCGAGACCATCCTTGGAAACCCCATGGTCGCTGCCCACGGAAAGGTTGTGTTTGGCGGGCTGGAGATGGCTGTGAAGAACTTGGATGACATCAAGAAAACCTTCGCCCCGCTGAGCGAGCTGCATTCAGAGAAACTGCACGTGGATCCCGACAACTTCAGGGTAATTTTAATTGATAGTAGTTATTGTGACTTGCGTTTATTAGTTACTTAGTTGGACGTTTTAACTGAGCGGTGTTTTATGCTCTCTTCGCAGCTGCTGGCTGACTGTATCACCATCGTCGTGGCTAGCCAGTTGGGCTCTGCTTTCACTGCTGAAGTGCAGGCAGCGTGGCAGAAGTTCATGGCTGTTGTCGTGTCCGGTCTCTGCAGGCAGTACCACTAGAGCGAACCTCTACATGCGAAACACTGAGAAACAGCTTCAGTGTTGCGCTTCATTGCCAAACAAATCAATCCTAATGATTTAATAAAAGAGAAACTGAGAAGCATTCTTTGTGCACGCTTTTATCATTTTCACATTTCCACAAGAAGTATACTCGCACTAAACTGACTTTTATATCTCTATAGATATCTTAATTATATCGTAATTAGTGAGATTAAATAATTTAATTAATAGGCTGTCAAAATATACAATGACATTTCCGCCGACAAACAAAAATTCACGATTCACTTGCTTTTTAAAAAAATCGCATTCAAAATTTTAACTACCCGTATGTGTCTTCTATTATTAATTGACACAGGTTTTTAAATACTGAATCAAACAGACACTGATGGTTTAGCCTCAAACACATGGAGTGAAATGTTACAATTTACACCACAGTCAGATGTAGTTGTTAGACAGCCCTGGGTTTAATGTAGTATTATAAATGTAAAAAAAAATATTAAAGTTATTCAAAGTATTTTTTTTCAACATTTGTGGGTATGTATGCAAGTGTACAATGTTTAATAACTAAAATCAATGATCATAATAAAACAAAACAAAATGCAAAGGATGACAATAAAACCAAACCGAATGTGCAACTATGCACCAGTTTTAATAATAGTGTGCATGTCTGCATCTCTGCATGTGTGTATGTGTGTGTGATGTTAGTCACCATCAGAATCACAGTGCTGACAGGTGTATTGAGCTCCCCCTCGTGTACAGGCTTGATGGGCCCACCTTGGACAGTCTATGCCAGGGGTGGGGGACCTGTTCCATGGCGAGCCTGTGTGGGTGGGGGTTTTTGGGATGACCTCTCAATCAGCCAATAATAAAACAGGGGTTCTCAACTCCAGTCCTGGGGACCTTCTGTTACTGGCTGATTGAGAGGCCAACCCAAAAACCCCCACCACACTGGCTCTCCATGGATCAGGCATCCACCCAATTTTCCTTTGACTTTGAGATGTTCCATATACATAATGTAGATGTTTCCTGGGCTTGAGACGTGGCATCAAAACTACATGTAAAAATAACTACCCATTATGGTGGAGCACGGTGCAGGAAGGAAAAAAGGAGACGATCCACTGGCATCTCCAAGAGACAGGTAGGTTTGTTAAAGTAACAGAACACACTGGGGAAAATTATAAAACAAAAAGACCACAAGGGGCCATAAACTAGGGAACAATGGTCAGGGTCAGACACAGACCTTACTCACACGATGACCCACTGACAAAATGAACACAGGTGACAACTTAAATACACAAACTAAACCACGTGATGAGAGAGCAGGTGTGCAACATGAACGCCAATTAGCCAATCAACAGAAGGCACAGGACAATGAGCAACTGGTAGAACAATCAACAGGCAACAGAAGGAATTAATACCAAACTTGTTCACAGAACTAAGTGGCTGAAAGCGAACTTGGAAACCCTAACCCAGGGGTTAGCAACCTGCGGCTCGCGAGCCACATGCGACCCTTTGACCACGAGGCTGCGACTCTTCTCAGAATGATAGATGCATTCACATTTTCATGTCTTAACATAGTATGACAATGCTTTCATAAATATAAATCATTGAATTATGGGTTAATATTTTTCATTTAGGTATTTCTTTAGCTATATGTGATTGAGGAGGTCCGTCGCGCGCTTCTGTGATGCCTTAACTGCATAATTTACATCTTCCTCAAAGAAATTCTCTACGGCGAGATTACGTCTCTGGTCAAATGATATTTTACAAGAGTTTTCTTCAGCGTCCGACATTGGATGTAGGCTTCAAAGTTTATTGGGATTCGTAATTCTTTCATATACTTTTCGTAGTAAATCGTCATCTCGCCTTCCCAGATCTTTGTAAAATTATTATATTTACATATTTACATATTATAGCCAGCTGAGTTCGGAGTGGTGAGGACATTTTGCACTGCTCGGTCAGTTACAAGTAGTGAAGTGGAGAGTGAAGGGCAGACAACTGCAGAGCCAAACTAACTTGGGTGAGGGTGAAGACTATCGCTACATAACTGAACAATATTGTGATATTAGTCACCTTTGCGCTGTTACACTTCCGAGTGATTTAAAACTGAGAACACCACCCCCCCGAAATTGTTTTTCTTTATTTTTTGTAATTACTTAAAGTTTTGTTTTTGTGTTAAATGCATATATATACCGATATCACATTAAAAATCGTATCTCAAACCCTCTTCTCTATCCATTGAGGCTCTTTGTAAATCTTGGGTCAGACATTTAGGATAAAATGACTCTTTAATTTAAAAAGGTTGCCGACCTCTGCCCTAACCTGACACTAGGGATATAAAGCAAAGACAATTAATACACAAAAGGGTATAAAGCAAAACCTGAACATAAGGAGGGAGATTCAAGGTCAGAAAAACTGTAAAAGGAAATAAGCACAGGACTGAGAACTAACAATCACTGGAAGCAATAAGACTAATCAAACAAGGAATGATTAACATGGAACCAAAAATACAAACAGGACCAAAGGAGAAAACATAGCAAACCAATAAACACTAAGGACCAGCGAGACTGATCAAGCCAGCCTCAAATCCACGACCAGCAGGTTCAGACTCTGAGCTACACTTACAGCCCACTAAGCTATGTGGTCCTGGAGGAAGAGAAACACAGAAGGATCAAGGACTGAATGACAGCAGACAGGATGGCCAGCGACACCTACTGGTCAAACAGGAAAGCTACACAAGGAGCTGGATCAGACAGTACCGACCCTGGGTGCGTTTCCCAAAACCATCGTTGCTAACTATGTTAGCAACTTGCGTGGTTCGAACTATGTAAGTACGACGCAGGTGTTTCCCGAAACCATAGTTCGAACTACAGAGGTAACGATACGGCAGACTTACGTAGTATGATGCATCGCTAATGCTAACTTCCGTCGTTGTTTGGGAAACGCACCCCCAGACAACTACCTCATTGAAAACTATAGGAGGCAGTTTCTGGCAGCGAAACACTGTGTGTAAAAGCTGCTACCCAAATTTAAAGTACAGGACAGTCATTTTGATAGCTTAAATCATTATACAAATTTCCATTCAAAACTACAGGTATGATATTTTGGCAAAGTAGCAAAAACTGATAGATATAGGCCTAACTGAACATTTATGCTACTGTAGCAAATCCTGGCAAGGCAGCAAAAAATGTCAGAACACCGGCTCATTTCAAGCAGTATGTGTAATACATCATAGCTTTTTCCATAGACGTCCACGGGGTGGACAGGAGGGATACATCCCACCTAATATTCAAAACAGTGGTGTTTCTTCCATCCAATATTTTCCAGAATTTTGTTTTTCAAAATATGAAAAAAAAAAACAATTTGGTTCTCATCTAAAGTACTGATCAGGGGGAAAAAGACACGAGCAGAACCTCTATGTGGACTATGTAGTGGAGAGCACCCAACATCAAGCCCTAGTGGACAGGGGTCCACCATCACCCTCATCTGCTGGGTGTCCTCCATGGCATCGACCAGCCAGCTCTACCGCAGGGAGGCATAACAGAGGTCTGACTCATGTCAGTCACCGGAGTGTGCATGCTGATGAAGGGGAAGAGGTGACTGGCTTGCAATCACCATTCTGGTTCATACAAATGGTGTTTGGTGGACTTTGTGCACTGGGGCACAGTCATGTTAGAACAGAAAAGGCCCTTTCCCAAATTGTTCATACAAAGTTGGAAGCATAAAATTGTCTAAAATGTCTTGGTTTGCTGAAGAATTAAAAGTTCCCTTCACTGGAACTAAGGGGCTGAGCCCAACCCCTGGAAAATAGCCTAATACCATGGGCATTGATAGGCCCATTCATTCTGGGCTATAGCCCAGAGTATTTTAGCCCCAATGCCAATCATCCTGCAAATAATAATAACAATAATAATAATAACAAAAACAAGTTAAGCCCCAAGTAGACTTTGCTTTGTGCACTGGGGCACAGTCATGTTGGAACAGAAAAGGCCCTTTCCCAAATTGTTCATACAAAGTTGGAAGCATAGAATTGTCTAAAATGTCTTGGTTTGCTGAAGAATTAAAAGCAAAAACAAGTCAAGCCCCAAGTAAAATTAACCCCTGATCTTTTCAACATCTAGAAACTCTGCTGCCTAATACCATTGTCCCTCCTCCAGCTAACTTTACCACTGGCACAATGCAGTGAGGCAGGTAATGTTCTACTGGTATCTCCTGGTAAACCTAGACTTGTCCATTCGACTGCCAGACAGAGAAACGTGATTTGTCACTTCATAGAACACAGTACTAACAAGCTGAAAGGAGCCATATCACCACCTATTGTCGCAGAGTCAGACATACATTGGTCAATGAAACGATTCCCCTCCCATGCATGTATACTGGGACAAGGGCAGTAGTCCGATTAAATGGCCTAGTCAAGCTATAACCTTAGCTTGACTTAGCTGTGCATGTAAACGTACTGACTGTCTCCCTTTATCTCGTTTGTAGGTAGACCGCATGCGTTCCTATTAGCCTATACATGGCTTAAAAAAATTTCATTTCTAAGTGGACCTACCGATTTAACGAAGGATAAATAACTGAAACATGGGTATTTCTTTCAAAAACATCTTATTCAAAACCCTCTATTCTTGCTGCATTTGTGACTGTGCATTTTGTTTGCATTCTGCAGTTACGGGTTTTGGGTCCTGAAAAAGTTGAGAATTGAGCTGCCTTAAATGGTGACAGATGCAGTTTTGGTTACACGGACCAAAGTGTTATGCAATACACAAAAAAGGCATCCCGGAAATTAAGAAAGATCTGTGACTGTTCTTTCAAATAGCAAGCAATGTAAGTAGATGTAAATTCTATACAGGCTTAATCTATATACCAAGCCTATGTTGGATGCATTTGTCAACATAGTTTTCCCATATTGTATCTCTTATTAGCCTATATATGTTGCTGCAACAAAGAAATCTGTTAAAATAAAGCTATAAATCAATGAATGTATCCTCACATAATATGTAACATTATGGTATACCAGGGCTCCGCCCAGCACTGTAATCATTTAATCCTAACTGGAGTCACAGGGGGGACTGGAGCCTATCCTGGGATCAAG